CACTCAGCCACTTGCCTACGTTTGTTAATAAAATAGGCAATGAAAATAATATAAAAAAACAATGCATATGCTGGAAACAAATGAAGCGCGCGCTTTTTAAATGCTCTAATCACAAACCAACACGTCTTGTCTTCTACCTCGTTTCCCTGTAAAACAAAAACAATTAGCGGGGGTTTTTAACCCCCACAAAATAGGACGAGGAAAAATAACGATTAGGCCTATGGGTTATATAAATATGGCGCGATGATTGCTTTGTGTTCGTCTGAATGCCACGAGCTCAACCATGGGTCTCATGAAGGCTAATTTTTCCTGTACAGCAAAGCCATATTTTGAAAGCTTCGAAACCCTAAATTTCATCAATGGCAACTTCTGTTTCAAGACGTTTTAATGCAATTAACCTATGCCAAAAGCTTTGTATGATTGCTAGCAACACAAAACACACAGTAAATCATGTTAATGATGCATAATTTTGGAGTTACGATTCTGAAAAAGTTAAGCAAACCGTGAGTTCGTGTATGGTGATTTCTTGAGCTTTGGCGCTTGGTTTCGATTGCAAAAGGTTTCTCAATGTCCCAGCAATGTGTTTGAATCCACAAAAGCCCTTGAATTGGCCTGGAAGTGAGAAAACAGTTTTGACTTTGTTCTTGATTTTTTTCAATGTGCTTATGGTTTCTGCAGCAGTTTCTCACGTGAATGGAATTAGGTTTAGCTTATGCACTTATAGTAGAATGGTTTTAGGTCAAATCTTGCACAAGAAATCCCTTGCATTGATTTTCCAATATTTGATTGAAAATCAAATAATTTTCAATCTTTTTGATTGATAAAACTTGCCAAACATGGGGATTTTTGTCTCTTTGATTGATGCACGAATTTTCCAGCTTGCCCTGAGCTTATTTGCTTCACAAAAGATTGGAAAAAACATATCTTTATATTTTCCTACAATTAAATGAATTAAATGAATTAATAATCAATTATAAATCCAAATAATTAATAAAAATAATAAAATAATCTCAAATAGGCTTGATGGGTCGTGCATATGCTTTGGCTAAAGATTCAAGAAGGAATTTGAGGCCCATTCGAAAAAATGAGGTGTTTTGGGAAAAGTTGACTTTTGCAAATTCCCAAAAATTTCCCAACTTCTCCAATGCATATCTTGCTCAATTTTGATCATATGAACATGTTCTTGGACATTTTGGAAAGGTCTTGAAGTCCTCTAACCAATGCCTTTAGTCCCATGTCATTTGGATTTAGCAATATCAAGTTATGGTCTTTGACTTAAAATGCCTTTTTGTTGACTTTTGAAATTGACCTATAATGTAGAAATTGATAACTTTTTGTGAGAGCATTTCTTGGACTTGGAATGTGAAGATGAGTTGTAGGAAATGTCATCCCCTTCAAAATGAGCATTGGGTGGGATTTTTCTGATGAACCATGAAAAAGTTATGCCCTGGTCAAGTTACAGTTGACTTTTCTACTGTCCAAAAATAGTAACTTTTGCATCTTTGATGATTTTTGAGCCATGCTTGTGGAATCATGATCAAGACTTGATCAAATGATGTTTGTGAGCTCAAAATAAGATGTTGACCAAAAATCTTGATTTTTGACTGTAAAATGACCATTTTCCCCCTGCAGTTGATTGTGAAGCAAATGGACTTTTTGACTGTGCAATTTGACCCTGTGAGTCTTGAGACTTGACATGTGGATGCTTGACAATATATATAGGCATATGGGACTTGATTGCACCACTGAAAACCTCAAATTCCTGGAGAGAACCAAAACCCTAATTTTGACTGGCTTAGAAGATGGTTTGACTGTGCAACCCCTTGAGAAATCTTGAGCCATTTGAATATGATCTTTGATAAACCTTGAAGAATCACTACAAGAAAATTAGTGTTTAACGACACAAAAATTGCGACAGTTATGTGATAACTGTCGTAATTGACATATAGAGACAGTTTTTACGACGGTTGACACCAACCGTCCCTAATATTTATTTTGCGACGGTATATTTAACCATCATAATATTATTATTACGACGGTAAAACAACCGTCGGCCCCCATTTAACACTTTTAACATTGATTTTTCACCAACAACTAGTCACGACGGTAAAATTAACCGTCCTAAAAGGCATATCACGACGGTAAAACACCCGTCGCAGTAAAAAAGTTAAAAATACCAAAAAAATACCAAAAAAAGTGAAGGGCCTTAGGAAAAGGTAGAACATCTCGGTCCACTAGAAGCAAGATCCATCTCCAACCTTTCTATTCCCAATCAACATTATCTTCTCATTTATACTTATGATAAGAGAATAACAGAAAAAATAAGATTTGGGATTTCATATGTCGTGTATGCCTTGGTTGCCAGAGGCACGGTGGTTCTGGCGGAGTTCAGTGCCGTCACCGGCAACACAGGCGCCGTCGCTCGTCGGTTACTCGAGAAGCTTCCTACCGAATCGGATTCCAGACTTTGCTTCTCTCAAGATAGATATATCTTCCACATACTCCGATCTGATGGCCTCGCGTACCTTTGTATGGCCAACGACACCTTCGGAAGTGAGTAGCTCGCCGTTCTTTTGTTTTCTTGATTTATTGTTTTTGACCTAATTGCTTTAATATCCAATTCTAATGTTTGTGCTGAAAAAATGATTATGGAAGGATCAGTATTCTTTCTAGAATGAAGATAGGGTTTACTTGGAGTGGTTTTGGTTAGTTTCTTTTGTTTAAACTTATAATGATTATATGATTGTTATATATTGAAAATGAACTGTGTTGGTGTGGTGAAATTGAAAAAAAAAGGTGTGATTGAAGTCTGCATCATTGTTTATGTGTTGTTAGTTAGTTCATCTATTAAGAGATTCAATTGTGTTGCGGAGAGGTGTTCTTCAGAGGTTTTTCTGGCTTCTGTTGAGTCTTTGGAACTGATCAGGCTTGATACTGCAAATTATGCAACCGCGTTAGAAGCAGAATCAAACAGAGGCTTCATTCAATTGGCATCTGAGGAACATGGTGTGGCACCGTGTCTGATGCTGTCATTGCTTTTGAATGACACTTTTCCGTAAGGTAAAAGGGAGAAGAACAAACCAGTGATGCTAACTGGATTAATGGACAATCATTGGAAGGCTTGCACTGATTGGGTTAACCCTAATGGAAAACCTAATCTCCAATTTTTCTCCACTCATTTTGGTTCCTCCAAAGTTCAGGTTGATAAATTGTTACTTCTAAGTTAATTTTTCTTAAAATCAATATTTAACATTGGTTGTTGGATATAATTTGTTGGTGATTATTGGTGATTGTAATTTGTAGTTACACTCAAACTTTGTAAGATTGAGATTCCTTTAACTCGTTTGAAAATTTGAAATGTTGATGCTATCAGCTAATTGAAATTTTGGTCATGGAAAGGTTGCAGACTGTGATACCAGAGATTTTACTGATCAAAAAAGGGAGGACATGTTGGTTTCCGATTTCGTTCGACTTTGCTTTAAATATGAAGGTTCTGCAGTTCAGTGCAGTAATCAAATTGGTGTAAGTAATGGTGACTCTGCATCTGTACCGTATTTGAAGGATTGGCATTTTGTGAAGGTATCATTTTTGGCTTTTCATCACTTTATCATTCATTGTTGTACATTTGTAGTGCCTTTTCATAATTTACTTTGAAGTCTGCCCCTGTCAACCTAGATAATCCTCTTGTTGCATTAGAGTTATCATATGTTATGTTATACTACAGATGATGATTTACTAAGTAATTTCTTTTTCTAACTATTGCAGGAGTATCCTGATTACGTACCATACATCACTCCGATGTTCTTTTGTGATGATTGGCTCAACTTGTATCTCGATAACTTTAGAATGAATACTTATTCCGACAGAGACCAGCAAAATAAGGAAATATGTTGCTCTGACTATCGTTTTGTTTACATGGGAGTAAAAGGTGTGATTTTAGTTGGGAAGAAATCTTGAAATGACCATGAATCTCAGATGATTCTGCACTTTTCTATGCGAAGAGATGAGCAATCCAACAGTAACTTCTTACTTTCACTTCTTCTGGCAGGATCTTGGACTCCTCTACATGTTTGAGGTGAAAGAAGGAGAAGATGAGCGCTTCTAGGTTCATCAAGTGTGTTACTGTTGGGGATGGAGCTGTGGGTAAAACTTGTGTGCTAATTTCCTACACTAGCAATACCTTCCCCACTGATTATGTGCCAACTGTCTTCGACAATTTCAGTGCAAATGTGGTTGTGAATGGAAGCACTGTTAATCTGGGTTTGTGGGATACTGCAGGACAAGAGGATTATAACAGATTAAGACCTTTGAGTTATCGTGGTGCCGATGTTTTCATTTTGGCTTTCTCCCTCATTAGCAAAGCCAGTTATGAAAATGTTTCCAAAAAGTGGATTCCAGAGTTGAAGCATTATGCACCTGGTGTTCCCATTATTCGGGATGACAAGCAGTTCTTTGTTGACCATCCTAATTTAGAACTATTTTTGACACGGGCAATGGAGAAACTTGACATTCAGAGATATACCAGGGAAGCTGGTTTGAGAAATTTGGTGAGGAACTTGGCCGGACAAAATTAGTTTTGAATTCATTGAATCAATGATTAATTACTAAAAAAAAATCTCATTTATCATTTTGAGGTTGTTCAGGTTTTAGTGTAAGTTTATCATTTAATATTTTGTTTAATGATTGAGAAATTTATATTGTAATAAATCAAATTATGTTTGTAATCTTTGTGAACAAGTCATGAGACTGTGTAACCTTAAGAAAGATGCAAAGACGAACATCCATGCTATTATTGACAAGTTAGCAGAGAGAGGTCTTCGTTCTCTTGCTGTTTCTAGACAAGTATTTTATATCTGGTATTCATGTTTGAAGTTTGTCTTGAAAATATTTCTTTTCACTGATCCTCCAGTTTTCTGTGTTATCGTGTAGGAGGTTCTTGAGAAAACTAAAGAAAACTAATGATTTTCAATTTGTGAAGTTGTTGTTCTTCTTCATCAACTATGGAAAAGGTATTGACTTTCATGAGATTTTCATTAGAATGTGAATGTTGGGTTAACTGAAGAGTTTGTTTGAAGTTTATTAAAGTGAAGCTATGGTTTATGTTGAGTTCAGTCAGTAGTGAGTTTATGAGATAGTTAGGGATTAATTATGTTAGTTAACAATTGAGTTTAAGATTTGGTTAGTAGGTTAGAGGTTTAGGATAAATTCTGTTAGTAATTTTGTCAGTGTAAGGGGTTTGTGGATGAGGTTTGGAAATTGAGAGTTAGAGCTGAAGTCAAGGTGAGGTTAAATGTTGTATTGAGTATTGTTCCACATGACCATGGCATGCTACCTTGAATTTATTTCCCTCTTGAGTTGAACTATCTTTTTCTAATGATGAATTGTGTTATGCCTTGTATGTCAAGTGGATGTATATTTTGTTCAATTTGGTCTATGTAGTATGAACTGCATTGCATGCTAAAACTCATATAGGGCTTTTTCTTCTTCTGATTGTTCTTATTTGGTGTTTAAACTGAACATGACTTGGTATTGATGATTGTAAGCTTGTGATGCATTACCTTGGAAATCCTGTTGTGCATGATATGTATATGTTGCCTAATTTGTATCACCCTGCATACTTCACGTCTGAATGCTTGGTTGAATGTATATAATGTAAGATGAATGCTTGACTGCTAAGCTTGGATATGAATTGAATAGGATTACATTTGTCTTGAACTAACTTGGACATTTGTGTTATTACATGATGCTTTTAAATGACCAATTCTTTGAATAATTGCATTGAGTTATATATCTTGCATAGAATGACCGTGAAGCTGTCTGTCGTTAATCACAAGTCATAACAGTTGGGAGGGTCAAACTTTTGCATTCTTCGGGATGACAAGCAGTTCTTTGTTGACCATCCTGGTGCTGTGCCCATTACCACTGCTCAGGGAGAAGAGCTTAGGAAGCTGATCAATGCACCTGCTTATATTGAATGCAGTTCTAAATCACAGCAGAATGTGAAAGCAGTCTTTGATGCAGCCATAAGAGTTGTCCTTCAACCACCAAAGCAAAAGAAAAAGAAGAGTAAAGCACAAAAGGCCTGTTCGATATTGTGATTTGCTAGGTCGGTCTAAAAATTTGACAACCATTTCTCCAATCTGTAATTCTCTCCTCTTCTTCGTTTTCTTCATTCCTACGCCATTGAAGAAGTTGAAGTCTATGTGGGTGTTCGTTCGTCTAACATACTCTAGATCTCCTTGAAGCATTAAGGTGGTTGATGCTTTGTTTTTCTTGGAATTATTGTGAATTCTAATTGTCAAATTTGCATTTCATGGTTCCCACCTTTTTCTTAACTTAAGTTTTATGTATTAATAGACTGGAATTATCCCAGTTAGGATGGTGACTACCTTGTTTGCTTGAAGATATATATAATATCTAAATTACATATATATAATATCTAAAGGTGTGATTTTAGTTGGGAAGAAATCTTGAAATGACCATGAATCTCAGATGATTCTGCACTTTTCTATGCGAAGAGATGAGCAATCCAACAGTAACTTCTTACTTTAACTTCTTACCATAATCAGTTTTGATGAAGTATGCGTGATGTTGATTATCGTTGTTGAGAAGCCGATTCGGACTTGTTGATGAAAATGATTTTGTGTAGAGAAGCAGTTAGAGAGTGAGTTTTGGAGAGATGAAGTTCTGAGAAGAGTTTCGGATGTGTGCAGAACGAATTGTTGAAGTTTTAGAAGTGAAATCGTTGAAGACTCATAGAAGATTTTTTGTAATTCTCTCAAGTTGTAGCAAACCAATGTAAATATTAAAATGAAATTTGGCCTTTGATGATATTTGAATTTTTCTTGTTTATTGGTAAAATTTGCACTTCTTTTTACCTTTGATCACATTTTTTTGATATTATTGATGATTATTTGATATTAAATGTTTTTATTGTAATTAACTTTATTATGTTGAAAAGTGATAGAAAATAAAATAAAAATACTATAAATAAAAAAATATTAAAGTAAATAATAATTTAAATATAATAGTAAAATATTATAGTAAAATAATATTATATTTAAAATTATTTTACTAAATAATAATTTAAATAAAAATATTATTTGAAATTTATAAATCAGATTACGACGGTTAAAACCGCCGCAATTTCTAACCTACGGCGGTAGAATAACCGTCGCAAACAACAACAAAAACAAAAAATAAAGTCAAATTCACGACGGTATATAACCGTCGCTATCTGTTGTGCGTGACAGTTTTTGCAACCGTCGCGAAATAGGCTGGGGACGCACGATTCTGCGACGGTACTTCTACCATCGTAGATTGTAAATTGCGACGGTTTTAACCGTCGTAATCAGCCAAAATAACCGTCCCAATCTATCATTTTTCTTGTAGTGAATATGGGAGGGAAAATTTTGGGGTACAACAGTTTCCCCTGTTCAATATTCTTAGACCTGAGGATGTAGATTGGCTTGCGTGCCTTTCATGATCCGAAGGTGGAAGATGATTGAACACTAAAGTGCCCAGAAATTTGCACTCGCATAGTAGAGTATCAGCAGTGTGATGTCGGGAATGGGCTTACAGATGCCATTTGGAAAGATGGTGGATAGGAGGATGGGCTTATAGATGCCATCTTAAAATGTGACAGAACCTTGTCGAGAATGGGCTTATAGATGCCATTTGGAATTGTGTGTCAATCGCATAAGAGATTCCTTAGCGAGAACTTGCGTACCTGAGAAAGAAAGATAATTTCCTGGCCTGTTACAGGGGTTGATCTTCAAACTCTTCATGCAGATAAGCCCTGGCTAGATACAGGTATCGAATTTGGAATTTTTCGTCTACAGATATGCCCTGGCTAGATACAAGTATCGAATTTGGAATTAGTCGTCTACAAATATGCCCTGGCTAGATACAGGTATCGAATCTGGAACTTCAAAAGGTTGGTGGGTTGTCTCTACTGACAGGTTATCTCAGAAAATATTGAGGAATTGATTTAACTGAACCGGGGGAGGTGTTGTCTTCTTTGACGAGTTGTCTCTCTTAACGGGTTGTCTTCAAGGACGGGTTGTCTTTAACGACGGGTGTCTATAACGACGAGTGTCTATAACGACGGGTGTCTATAACGACGGGTGTCTATAACGACGGGTGTCTATAACGACGGGTGTCTATACTGACGGGTGTCTATAACGACGAGTGTCTATAACGATGGGTGTCTATAACGACGGGTGTCTATAACGACGGGTGTCTATAACGACGGGTGTCTGTAATGACGGGTGTCTGTAATGACGGGTGTCTATAATGACGGGTGTCTATAACGACGGGGGTCTATAATGACAGGTGTCTATAATGACGGGTTTGCATCATAAAACCTTTTAAGAATTGATTTAACTGAATTTGTCTTCTTTGACTGGATTTGTCTTATTCGACTGGATTTTTTCCTGAAAAGGCAAAACATTAGTTGCACGCAATGTCATGATGTATGAAATGCAAGATGTCATGACGTTCTCACAACGAGATCGTGTCGTATGCACTTTATCGTGTATGTAAATAGGAGGTATGAAATGCGAAATGTCTATGAATGTATTTTCGTCTAGGAAAATAAATCCTTGACGGATGACGGGAGCTTGTTGAATCCTGGGATGATGCTGAAGAGTAGAGTTCTTCGTTTCTGCTGGGGATGATGATTGCAAAATAAACCGGTAGGAGAAGATGACTCCATTAGGGAATACACTTGCTGGAGAGATTACTCTGCGGGGAATTACTCTGTGGGAAGTGATACTTCGCTGAGATTCTGATGATAACTTCGCTGGGGATTACTGTGGATAAGCTCTTGTTGGAGGATTTGATGAACTCTGCTAGGGATAGGAAGAACTTCGCCGAGGATGATCTTTCCGTTGTAATTAGCTGAGGATAACCCAGTTATAAGCTCTGGTGGGGAATAACCTTTGAATATGGTCAGGGAGAGATATGTACTCTGTAGGTGATAAGCTTCCAGAATCTACTGGGGATAGGTTCCCAAGATCTACTAGGGATAAGCTTCAACTCTCCTGGGGAAACTTTTGGACTGCACTGGGGAATGGCTCCACTGAAGTGTCTGATATTCCGCCGGGGAACAATCTTATATTAAGACTTCTGGGGATGCTTGCTTAGGAACATCTGCATACTTCACTGGGGAATGTTGAGATCTTTTGGGGATACCCAACTTCCTTAAGGCTGACAGTAGCCTAACTCTGCTCGGGGAGAGTGTTGCTGACTTGCTAGGGATACTGTCCCTTTTTCGGGCTGATGGGAGACCAACTATGCTTAGGGAGAGAGTATTGTTGATTTGTCTTACTCTGCAGGGAGTAAAGGTATCTTGGTTACATTCTTCAGTTGAACCTACCTTGTCACCTTGGCGGACAGAGCGACTCGTACAGTTCGGACAATTCTTATTTCCCCAGTTCCTTAGGGAGAAGGTACCTGTGGAGGTGCTTGATGACTGCCGACTGACAAATCTTCTTCTGGTAGGAAAGTGCCGAGATGCCGGGCCATAGTCGTACGCTTTTAATCCCTAATTTTTGCCTGGACCGCCCTTTCGGGTTTTCGGTCCATCGGGATACCCTTTTTTTCCCAAGCCGCCTTTTCAGGTTTTCTACTTGCCGGGTGTACAATTTTTTTCATTTTCATCCCTTATTTTTGCCCGAACCCTTTTGGTTCGCCGGGAAGCCCTTATTTTTGCCTAGGTCCGTCAACCTAGCGGATCTTTAATTATGCGTAGTATTTTTCCGACTATGTCCATGCTCTCAGGATTATAAGGAGTTGTCACTGTCAGTAGTGTTGCCATGTTACCAGAAGATCTTCGTTTGATCATGCAGGATTCGTAGCTGGAATTCATGTCCAATGCCCCAAGTGACTCGAGCGGAGATTTGCCCCAGGCTATTTGGCATTTTGAGAGATTCCTTGAATCTTGACTGGACTGCCCCAGATGATGGACAATGATCATGCCATTCCCCTTGATTGGAGGTGCTTTTATTCATTAGACATTCGTCGTGCGAACTTCTATGCTATTCAAACAAATAGTCATATGCAAGCAATATTATATTAAAAATGAAAAGCTTATGTTTGTCTTGAAGTTTTTGAAAATGCAATTTTTTTCATAAAAACAAGTGAATTTTTTGTAAACTGTGATGTCAACTCGTTATTTTACCGCAAGCCTTAAGGAGTCAGGATACCTTTCGTAACAATATGCTTTCGAACTAACCCATGCTTCACCTAGGACTTTTAAGGGTTGTAGCGTGGCCCGGTTCACGGTTTAAGAAACAAAGGATAAAGGCTCAAATTTTATTTGTACCCACCCGCTCTTCGTGACGTTCTTCAAACCTAAACTCAGCTGACCGTGCGTTAGACCTTGTTTGAGTCTTTGTCTTGATATTCCAATGATGGTTCGAATATTGACAGTTTATTTTGAATAGGCAGTCATTTCTTTTTTGTTGAGGGTTTGTAGGACCTCTTTCTTTTTGATTTCATTATCCCTGGTTTTGCCTGAACTGTTTCCTCTTTTGGAATTACAATCAGCGGGATGCCCCAGTTTTGTAAGTCTCCTTCATAGGTTTTGACTTATTGGGTTTTTATTTCGAAAGACAATGATTGCCTGTCTTTATGATTATTCGGAACCATCACTGTCTTTTGCTTTGGAAGCACTCCTTTGGTGCTATTCGTTGTGCACTTGGATCAACTGAGAGAACTACCCTGCCCCAGGTTATGATTAAGGGTTTTAATTTTCAAAAATAAAAACTCCAACTTCTTTGGCTCAGAGGGGTTGACGAGGGATTATCTTCCTTATAACTCCAGTGTTTAGGAATTGAAACAATGCTTGTACCTCCTCAGCGGGGTCTGTTCAAAAGCATACTGTAAATTGTGGTATCATTTTCGTCATCCTCCCTCAAGAGGCTTAGAATTATCAATCGAGAGTTGAACATCAAAAAATGAAAGAAGTTTTAAGCATAGTGAACATAATTACTTCAAAACAGACACTTGAAATGCATTAATGAAATAACAACGTTTGACATGAATAAAATATTTGAACAATAAAGGAAAAATTCAACTTGAACATTCGAATGAA